CGATTTTTTAAAGTTCTCCTCTTGCCATGGAAATTATCGACAGTAAAAAAGGAGGTTAAAAATTGTTAATTTGCTACATGTACGAAATACGCCAATCTCAAAAAGCAAATCGTGGTCGACATGTGTGTGAAGAAAGATCCAGTGTAGTCGTTATCGGGAGTCAGTATAACAACTGATCTCCTGTGAGAGAATCCGGAGAGGTCAGCCTCATAAACCATGCTTCAATGAGACTCAACCGTCTGGCTAAATTACGCAATTGAATGAAAGGGCTGGCCACCCAACCAATTCTCGAGACAAGAGAAATCAAATCGATAACCATAGAAATCAGTTGATGTACGCAGGCTTTTATTATGATTTTTATTTTATTTTATATTTCATTTGTTATAAAACAATTTTAATAAATTGAACTGAAAATTATAATTTTTATAAACATATTTTTATGATTTTTTTTTTTTAACCTAGTCCTAAACCTAAATTATGACCATAGATGAATTTCCGCAAGATTTTTTTCCTATGACCTTTTTGTCGGTTTCTTTTTTTGTCTTTCTTTTTGCTAGATAAAAAAAAATGGTTCCCATCGGAATTGTACAGTTGAAGAAAAAAAAAAATTAATCAGTAGTTCTAATAATTCTTGGAATACTGAATCATTTCAAAAGCGCGCATACTACTCCCCCCACCAAGTCCCAACCATGAGAGGGTTAGCAAAACAGAAAAGTAATACAACAAAATCGGCGACCCGTGTTCAAATTTCGGTTAAGGCAGTCTGTGTTACACATTGCGCGCCCACCCTACCAAATGAATGATTCCATCACTTCTCCACCCACTGTGGATAAAAAATAACAGAGCAGACTGAGTTTGTTTGTTTTTTTGCCTTAATTCTCAACAACAAAACAGGAAGGTTTAAAAAATGTGCCGCTTGCAATTCCACCCTCTGGGTAATAAGGACAAAAACAAGAAAAACAAACAAACAAAAAACTGAAACGGCAGAATGTGACCCAATGCCGTATCGACGCACGCACGAAGAGACACATGCGCACACACATAATATACGAATAATACATGAGAAGTGACTGCTCGTATAAATAAATATCCCTTTTTAATGGGATCTGTTTAATTTTTTTTAGCGATTTTTCTTTTTTGTGAAAATTTTTTTTTAAACAAACTAGGATAAAAAGTGATAAAAAGAAAAACATTTATTTTAAATTTTACCAAATAATGGAATTATTTACTTTCTGTGTTAATTTCATTCTTTTTTTATTAAACAGTTTCATTCGCTAAAAAATAAATCTTTTATTTTACTTTTTTTAAAAATTCGAATAGTTTCTAAGTCTTCTACTAAATTAAGCACTACTCTGTTACCACTACTACTGCTACTACTACTATTATTATTATTATTAATAATAATATACTAAACTATACTGCTACAATACTTTTGCTAAGGTACTACTACTACAAATGAATGCTATAAATAATTATATAATACTACTACTAATAATAATTAGAATTTACCGTTAGAAAGAAATCCTTTATAAAGGAATATTTACTTTTCCAAAGAAATGCTCTTTCTGTCTCCCCTCTCTATTTATCTATTATTCTTTCCCTCCCAGCGAATGGATAAATCGATAGAGAGAGAGAGAAACAAAGGAAGATCTAAAAATAACTGTCAATATGAAAATGTCAAGTTATGTCAAACACTGACCCATTCATTGGTCCAGTGCACATTTATTGAAAACAATTGTTCAAGACCTGAAATAATTCATTTTTTATTGTCTTACTAAATAAAACCATTCTAGAGAATTTAATAAATAAAAAAAAATCTATAAAATCCCAATAAATACTGCTTTCATTTTTTAATGTCTTTTTCTGGCTTTTCCTTATTCATTGACTAATCCAAATCTTTTTCATCTTCCGCCATTGAGAGCTTCACGTACTACATCATTATTGCCTCCGATCGTGAGTTGATTTTAATAACAACAGGCAAGAATCCGATTTAATTTTACTTTTTAAAAATATATTTTCATGCAAAACCTTCCTTCTTAATTACTAACTACATATCAACGATGTTTTACAGCTGAAGCCGAGGGGATTTGAAAAAAAAAAGTATTCTTTTTCAATCTACGCCACGATGACGGGAGTCGCCATTTTTGACAGTTAGGTCAAGCTGTACAGTAGTAATCGCTTTCTTTCTTTCCAGCTTTGACTCACTCACACGGCCGCTTTAGTTTGCAAATAGTTTTCACCCCGAGAATATTGGTTTTTTTTCTTTTCTGAACTATATGAAAATATTTTTACGAACATATATACCACTCACTCATAGGTAATCAAAAACAGTAAAAATATATAGTCCCAACGTGTTCGGTGATTGCCATTGAAAAGCTGTTATTTATATTTGACAAGAAAGTTGGCGATCAATAAAAATAAATACAGCTTTATTGATTCTTAAAAACGTTTCGATAAAGAAGAAAAGAGAAACATTAAAACACATGACTTTGTAACAAATATTAATTATTAAAAAAAATCCTCAACTTATATAAATTTGTAGAAAAAGCTAAAACAACAAAGCAAAAACCCTAATGGACTGTTATAGTTGACATTTTTTTTTCGACGGAGTTGCTTCATTAAATTTATTTCTTGAAAATATTATTTTTATTATTTCTTTTTAATATTTTATCATCTTGTGTCCATTATTGTTTGGATTAAAGATTTATGAATCAAAGAATTATATTTTACTACTTTTTTTAAATTTTGAAATGTAACTTTTAGTTCTTTCATGCTTTTAGAAATGTTTCTTTTAGATTACTGTGTTGTCTATTTACGTGAATTATTCTTTCTATTTTGACTCACCTGTTGGATTCAAACTGATAACTGCATTTGTCTATTCTTTATATTTTACTTCTAAATTTTAAAAAATAAATCGTTTGAATACAGTATTTTTAGCAACATAGTAAATTCAATCATTTTTTAAAAATTCATTAAACTGTTTTTGAAGTGACAAAAAAAATCAAAGGCTTGAAATTTTGTTTTAATTTCTAAGCACGTTCCTTACATTGTTCCACTTCCATAAAGAATTTAATCTGCCACCCCCCCAATTTTGTCAAATTACAATTGAATAACCAATTCTTTCTTTATTTGGAATTTAATTTTATTTCTTATTCACTTATAAATTAATTTACTGATTTCAAAAGAATAAACTTTCAAAGCAAATAGCAAAAATCAAATATAAAAAAGTTATCAATTTTATAATAGTTATTTAAATTTAAAAAAAACTAAATAGACTCTATAACTTTAAGAAATTTAAAGAAAAGTTGATTGGTCTGAATTTTGAAATAATCAGAGGATCTGACCCTTTAAGTTGTTGCTGAAAAAATTTTTATAAACATGTCAAAAATATAAATCTGCAAATTGAAAAGTGTTATTCTTGTTCCATTTATTTAAATTATAAAAATGAAACCCTTTTCAAATCATTTTATTACAAATATGAAAATTGTTCAGACATTTTTTTATCCTTTTAACATGGTTCTATACAAGACATTTTGCCAATCGGCCATTCTGACCTTATAATTCACTTGTCCTCACTGACTTTTCTGTGGAAGCTGTTGCTATTAATTCTGTTAAATCTGATTCTTCATCTATTTTTTTTACTGCATATATATTTTTAAGAAATTTGACAAATGGAAAATATTTCATTGAAACTAGATTTGATTATGTATTTCAGCTTTCTAGGCTTCAACAGATCCAAAAAAACAAAAGCTTAAATAATAAATCATAGTACTTTTTCCCTAAGCTGGCGTTACTTATGATTAAAGAAAATGAGTGACTTTTGGGTTGTTGACAGGGAAACACATGGATAGGCCTCCAAACATAAATCTTTTACTTTCAATCCATTCTGAAGGATTGGATGAGGATTTGCCTTGGATTCATTTCTTGCTTTTGAGCAATTTTGAAAATGAGATGAGGATTTACCTTTAATTCGATGAAAACTATATTAACAACTTTTGACATGAACTAAGAATTATAAAGAAAAGATACAGAATAAATGTTAATAGCCTTTTTAAAAGTCACTCATTTTCTTTTTCTAATCTGAAATGCATAATCAAATCTAGTTTTAATGAAACTTTTTCCATTTATCAAATTTATTAAAATCTTTGTTGGGATTCTATATTTATTTTTTAAAATAATGTCACCCCAAGCAAGGCAATGAAGCCACTAAATGCAAGGGGTTACTGATTGTGTGAGTATATGAAAAAAAAATTATTAGGGAGAGAGAACAATAAAAGAACAGGAATTAATAAGACAAAAGATAATGATTGACATTGCATTTAAATTTTTGAAGATCAAAATTGACTGAAAAGCAAGAAGCTGGATGAGAGTTCCATAAGTGAGAAGTGTGAGAAAAGAAATTGTTAGCATAGAACTTATGGTTACATATAGTCAATTCAACTGTAAAATGATGAGACTTTGCTGCCAATCTAGTACTGCGCTTAAATTCATAAAATCTAGGTACCAAAGAGGAAAGTTCATCAGAACAGTTTCCATGAAAGTATTTATAGAAAAGTCTGAGAGCAGCTATGTTACAGCACTGGGAAAATGATGGAAGCTGGGATGCCAGGTTAGGAGCGATTACATTGCAGATTCTTCTCTGTATCTTATCAACAATCCTTAAGAGCTTTGGACTAGATATGGCAGCAGTATTCGATGGATTAATCAAATTCAGCTCATTTCTTTATCAGTTGAACCAACTTACATTTTTTTTTTTATTCAGGAAGCTATAATTTTCAACCTCAGTTCCTCTTTGTGTAAAAATTTCCCAGATTTGAAAATTCATTATCAGATATTCTTTCTTTGCATATCTAATTAACAAACACAAACAAATATTAAAAAAAAACAAAATGATTCTTTCTTTTTTTTTTATTATTCAGCTGATGGCTAGTTCTTCACCAAGTTTAGTGAAGGGATCTTTGGAAGAATGTATTGCCAAGGCTCTACCAACACAAACTGAAATGGGTGTACAGAATCTTGCAAAAACCCTCCGAGATATCGGTGTGGAGAGTCCTGATGATATTCAGTATGTAGAGGCCACTGACCTTGCTTCAGTTCTTAAGCCAGTCCAAATTCGGAAACTCCTCCAACAAGTGAAAGGTATGTAATAATACAATTAATAAGCATTGATATTTAGAGCACTTGAAAGGTAGGTAATGTATTTGTATCAGTCAGTTATGTGCCATGTGTGAAACACGCTTAGGCAATCATGTATCTTTTGATACATGACTGATTTTTTCCTGTAGTAGGTTGCCATTTCTTTCTGTGGTAGGCCAATTGTCATCCAAGGCTATAGAACCCAGTCTGTCCTGCTATTTACCCATAGCTGGAGGAGAAGAAGAGGATTCAGACCTTTCCCAAGGGTATTAGCACGTAAGTGAATGTGATGCATTTGACTGGAATTTGAACTCGGCTTTCCAATTCCCCAATTCAAGCCGCTATCCACCACTACACCGTACCTCTTCAATGTATTTGTATAATATTCTCTTAATTCATTTTATTTGATTGATCTTTACAACAATGAAATTTCTGTTTTTAAGCTTTTTAGATTCTGTTATCTGAAGATTCATAGTTATTAAACAAAAAGCTTAAAGTAGCATACGTATTGTGGGAGGGGATCATTAAAAAATTTTATTACTCCTGCTCGAGTAATTAATTTTTCTTTTTAATATTCAAATACTTGTCTATGATCTTCATTTATCTATACAGTCATTAATGAAGAAAAATATACAGAAAAAACAAACAAAAATCTTAATATGCAATTATGCTGTATTAATGTTAATATAATGTCAACGTCAGACGTTTCGGTCTATTATAATATTTTAAAATCATCTTCGAATCCGTTTTCACAACATCGCCCATGTGACAACAACGTGATCATATTTAAACGGAACGCTGATCTTATATAAAAATTTCAGTTATCTGTTTGGATTAGTCGTGCTCTTATGTCCATCGTCTTTTTCATGTTGAATTTGAATATGTTCTAATGTTAATTATGTTTTATGAATATGTCCTGATGATGGTCTAAATAAACCGAAACGTCCGACATTGACATTATATTAACATGAATACAGCATAATTGCATATTAAGATTTTTGTTTGTTTTTTCTGTATATTTTTCTTCATACTGTTGGATCTATATCCATATATTTGCTTACATACAGTCATTAATGTATATTCACTAAATAAATGAAAGGGTTCCACAAGAAAGGGTCTGTTCAAACCAAGTTGATTGGGAATCTCAACTCTTAAATTGCTGCCTAAACTGTCAGTTGATATTAACAGGCACTGCAACATAATTTAAGAACCTTGGAATTCTAGGAATTCACTTGAGATCGAGAGAAATTAAAATTGACAGGAAATTGTTTTGAACCTGAATGTAAGACATTGCGTAACTGAGACTGACCCTTTAGACTTCATTTGATCTTTCCAAATACTTAAACGAAAGAAATAACTTGAGGTCATTTTATTATCAGTTTGATCAGAAACAATGCGCGTCATTCCGTCCTCTCGTTGCGGTCGTCGTCGTTGCCGGCGGCGTTTCGCGGCGGGGCCAAAGGGCGGCGCGCTCCACTTTGGTGCTTGTGGCAGATTGTCTAATTCATTTCATTATGTATCTAATTCATTCTATCTATCTATCTTTTGTGTAGAACGATGACCAATATTCTGTACACTAATTGTTGAACATGTGCTTGTCTATCTGCTCTGAGCAGAACTCAAAAGTGGGTGATAAGGTATAGTGTTTGAGTCATGCACATTGCTACACTAAACTACGATATTCTGTGTTACTCTATTATTAATGCATGTCTCATGCGATTAAGCCTGTTCTTCACTCAACCTTTTATTCTAGTGTTTCCTTATAGTATTATTAACCAGAACTATGAGCATTATACAAACTTTATAACAGACTTGTAGCTGTGGCAGATGCATGGGACTCAAACTTGGGCAGAAGCTAGGTTTTTGGTGCAGGAATGCTTTCTTACTTGAAAGTTTGGTGCAACACAATCTTCCTTTCTACTATCTTATATATTGAGCTTGACTTAAATAACAATGAATAGTTGACATAATTCTTCAGATTAACCTTTGAACTGGGCTGATTTTATAGAGACGAACTGATTTGTGATAAATAAGAAAGTTTTAGGCTGTTGAGACTTGCCTACAGATGTCTATTTTGTTTTGTTTTGCAGCTGATTTGAATCAAGGAGCAGCTCAAAGGATGGGATTCTCATCCCAAACTGGACAAGTTCAATCTTCGCTTGCTGCATTCCAAGAACAAGGCCTCCAAGCTCAACTCCCCGCTAGCCTTGCAGGTGTATGCATCCAAATTCCAGCCACAAATATTTCTTCATCTCTTGGCATGCCTACGATTCCTTCAGATAAAGTGCATGATTCAATCATAACTTACTCAGAGCAGAACACACCTACCAATGTCTTGCATTCAGGTTCAAAGCAATTTCCAGTCAATTTTAATTTCCCTAGATCTCAAATGAATTCCCAGAATTCTGAGGTTCTTAATTATGTCCCAGTGCCTGTTAATATCAATCAAGACAATTCAAGCAGTGATTTAAGAGTCCAGATTCCCAATCAACTTGGCTCAAACAGACCCTTTCTTGTCGAACCCCTTCATATTGAACGGGACAAAACAACAAGTTCTAAAAGAGTCAGCCCAGTCATAACTTCATTTACAGACCTTGGCTCAGCAATCAATAAAAATGACAGAGAGATTGTAGAGTTATCTCCAACTGAAATAACCACTTTTGATTCTTCAATATGGAACTTTGAAAATACTAATAAGACATTGGTTTCAGGCCCAATTATTGTCAATGATGACAGCAATTCCTCAGTAATATGCGAGTCCTCAAATTCTCAGAATTTTGAAAATTCTCTGGAATGTTCTGTGAGTGAATCTCTGAATACCAATCAACACACATCTGAATTTCTTACTCTCCATTCTTCAGACAATGATACCTTGGTTGAAGAGAGTTCAGATTGGTTAGAGAAATTTAAAATTCCTTGGAATAAGATGCCCCCAGCTCTTATGGAGAGGTTAGAGAGACGTGAACGTCCAGAACAAAGTCTTCGTAGGGAGATGATCCGTGTAATTATTGCTGAGATGATCAAGTTATGTGCAAGACCAACACGGCACCAACTTCAAGACATTGCACACAGAATGGTCATGGATTATCCTGACTCACTGCTTGACCCTGCAGAAAATTCCAAAGCCCAACGTGGGTACAATTCCATTTTTAAACAACTTCAAGTTCGGTTGGAAAACATCAATCGGCCTGATAGAGGACAGTTTAATTATCAAAAAAAACTAATGTCTTACACACAGACAAGGAATTCTGGCAAATTCCTCAGTAATTATGGCTGTATCAATTGGCAGCCATTGAAACTTCCACCAAATGAAACAAAATGGAGTTTGAGGTTGAAGCAAGACCTCTTGAAGAACATTGCAATGATGCCCAGCTGGGATGTAGACCAAGTGACCGATGATATGTTCAGCACTTACTTTTTCCAGAGGAAGGATATTAACAATGGGGCCTCAATTCTGACTCTTCGAAAAGACTGGCCTTTTTTGTTTGAAGAGATTGGCATCATGGTCCATTTTAAAGAACTTACAGGTGTCGACTTAAAAATTGCAATCAAAGAAATAATAAATGGTCGAGCAAAGAAACTTATTGACTTTATGAAGACTGTCAAATTGGCGGTCGGTCAGGTGGAAGTGAATAAGATTCTGAAAAGTCTGACGAAAGAGGGATTTACTACAGAGAAACTGAGAGAAGTTGAAATGGCAGCCATGATACCACTTATAATGTTGTTTATGAATGAAAACAAAAATATTCTCTTCCCTATGGCACCAGTAAGTTTTTTTTATTTTTTTATTTTTCTGAAAATCATGTAATGGGATTGCTATATGCCCTTGGTGACAATGACCTAACAGTTTTTTCTTGACAATATAACTTTATTTTAGTGTTTCTACAGAAATGCATCTCTTCAAGAAATAATACTATTTTAAAAGTTTTTTTTTTTTTCATATTGCTATAGAATAAACTCTCGGGATCATAAATACACACACACACACACACACATACACACACACACGTGTGTATATATATATATATATATATATATAAGAAAGATCAAATATAGATTTGAATCCAACAGGATGATAAGATAAAGAACAATTAAGGAACGTATGTCAAGCTAAGATATTTCACTTTTATTAAAGATTGAGAGAAAATAGAAACATCGGTATTTTCAATTTTGTTTGGGTCAATTCTCATTGGTCAGTCATGGATCATGTGCATTAAAGCTCTAGATCATTCTATATGTAAGTTTGTAAAAATTCTAATATGTCTAAAAACTAAATTGAAAATACCAAAGTTCTGTCTTTTTATCTGTTTTTCTTTTAATCTTTGATGAAGTTTTAATAAAAGTGAAACATGTTAGATTGATACATGTTTCCTATTTGTTCTTTATCTTATCATATATATATGTGTGTGTGTGTGTGTGTTTATATGGGAGAAATTTCAGGCAACTGGATTGAGAAACTAAGGGGAATAAGTATGACTGACAAAAACTCATGGCTAGTTTAGATGTTGAATCCCTTTACACCACTGTTCCTGTTAACAAATGCTTAAAACTTTTAAAAAAGCATCTGGCATCATAAAAAAAAACAAAAAAAAACCTCTCTCTACCAATAGCTAATATCATAAAAATCTGCTGACTCATCTCTAATCAATGCTATTTCAAATTTAACAATAATTTTTATAAACAAAAATTTGGATTACCAATGGGTTTGTATCTGAATGGGGTTTTAGTGAATATTTTCTCAGATTTTTTTATAATTTGGTCCTTTTTCAGAGTATTTTAACTAAACAATCAACATATCATTCCAATATATTGATGATGCTTTATTAATATATCCTTGCAAAACAATATTACCTAACATTGTAGATAAACTAAATAAAATCAAATATACAACAGAATTCACTTACGAAACAGAAACAAATAACTTTACTTTTACTAGATATCATGTTACACTGTACTGGCAATGACTTAAAACAAAGTGTCCATAGTAAATCAATTAATAAAAATGATCTCATAAATATCTGTTCTCATATTAATGACAAAATGAAAACCAGAATAATTATTGGATTCTATTTAAGAGTACTCTGAATTTGTAGCCCTCAATATTTATATGAAAATGAGAAATATATTGAAAATACTTTTAAGTTCTTCCATTTCCCAAAATATTTATCATTTCATATTCAAGGGGAAACAAAAAGCTTGTAAAATAATTTAAAATAGAAGAGCAGTCCACTTTGACAAACATAATGAATCAAAATATATTCTACCCATTAACTCTATCACAACTGCAACTGAAAAGAATTTATTTTAAGCTCAACATAAAATTTGTTACAACTACTTCTAAAACAATAAATGACTTAATTAGTACAAACCAAAATAATAATAATAAGAGGAATTTACTCAATCACTTGTGATAATTGTCACAAGGAATACATAGAGACTCCATGAGAGATTTAAATAAATGATTATGTGAACACAAAAGGGACCTTTTACAAAACAACATGCTCAATGCATTAGTCACTCACCATAATGAGTCTGGCCTTAATTTTGATTTAAAAAATGATACTTTAATTAAAATGGAAAGCAATTGACTAAGGTGGAAGTGTATAGAAAGTGCTTTGATCACTAGACCATCCACAGTAAATTTGCATCCTGGTTCTTATAGCATTTTACCTTTCTTGGTAAATCTATTATCATAATGTGTGTTACTTAATAACAAAAGTGATAAAAACAAAAACTAAATGAAATTGGCAACACTATATATACAAACAGAAAAAAAAACCTTTAAAAATTCAGTATCCCTTCTTTTTCATGCATGTGTAGTTACATCAATGTAAATATCACTTTAGACTGGTGAAATCCTAAAGGATGAAATGTTATAAAAATTTTTTTATGCTTGTCATTAATTTCTTATATATATATATATATATATATATATATATATATATATATATATATATATATATATATATATATATATATATTAGTGATTATACATAATATCCAACATTGATAATATGACTTGGAATCTCATGCAAAAGTGCTGTTGCAATCTAGGGACGGTTACTGAATAGAATAATCACATAAAGATTGGTAATGAAGGATAATACTTAAGACAAGGACAACACATATAAGATTTGCCAGCAATTTGTAGAAGAAGTAGTCAACTGCTAGAAGTGAGTCAAGTGAATTCCACAATGAATCTCCAACTGCAGACCAACATACAGTATTTACTACTGTATTTATGTGAATGGGGACATACCCATTATTGTCCATAGGTATGCTACAACATGTGCAATATTCAGGTGTAAAATACAGACTGACCGTTAGAGCGTTATGAAATTTGTGTTCTTATGGTGATGATTTAAAATTGTGTGTTAAGACTTGTTTATTTTATTACTGTTGCCTATAATATTATAATTAGTTATAATTTATAGCATTTTTATATATATATCTCCAAATCATAGGGGCCTACTCACTCCTGTTGGAGGAACCTCTCCCTGATTGATCATGTTAAATATTTACACAAATTTGTTTGTATCAGTTGTTACATTCAGTGCTTGTTTTGTTTTCATTAGTTGTGTAGAAGTCATGTGTATATCTTATGGAGTCCTGGGTATGACAGTAAACTATCTCTGGCAGCAAGGCCTCTGATTGGGAGATTGGAGCTTTTGAAGAGTGCAGAACCACATCTTTAGTACTGTCGTTCCCAGGTCCACTTTGACCTAGGGTGGTAGCACTTGTTAGGGTCCTGGCTATGGGCAAATAGTGAACCTCGCCAAACAAAAGCAAAACACTATGAAGTTGCAGAAGTACATTTTTGTAGTGGGAATTTCAGCAATACATTTTTGTATAAAGACATTATCAGCAATACATATTTATGGTGAAGTTGCCAGTGATGCGTATTTGTAGTAAAATTACTAAAAATGCATACTTATTGTACTACCAAACAACCAAAATGAAAGAACTCTTTCATGACATTAATCCATATAATATCCTACAATTTCTTAAAGAAATCTAACTATATTCCTAAATATACCTTCAACAAGACTACAACATAAAACATACATATCACTGCCTCTAGTAATTATGTGCACACAAACATCTATATACACAAAAGCTGAGTATGTATTCAACTGTGAAAGCAGAATGACATATATCATATTTTTTATTACTTCAAAGCTCCCAAGAAAATTAAATTTCAGCATTAAATGACCTATTAAGGTGTTGATATACCATTAAATCAATTATATCTTATGACATTAGTGTTTATGTATGTAGCAGTTGTTAAATTCAATGCTTGTTTTGTTTTCATTGGTTGTGTAGATGCCATGTGTATATCTTATGGTGTTGGTGTTTGGTTGTAGAAATATTAATTCATTTAAGTGTGTTTAATTTTTTTTAATTATTTCACCCCAGTCAAGGCAATAAAGCTATAAAGATGCAAGGAGTTACTGAGTGTTAGGGAATATGATAAAAAAAAAACAATATTAAGGAGAAAGAACAATAAAAGAACAAGAATTAAGAAGACAAAAAAAAATGATTGACATTACATTTATATTTTTGAAGATAAAAATTGAGTGGTAAGCAAGAAGTCGGAAGAGATTTCCATAAGTGAGAAGTGCAATAGAAGAAACAGTTAACATAGAACTCTTGCTTACATCTATCCGATTCAACTGTAAAATAATTAGACCTTGTTGCCAATCTAGTACTGCGCTTCAATTTATAAAGTCTAGGTAGTTCAGAACAATTACCCTGAAAGTATTTATAGAAAAGGTGTAGGTAAGCTATGATACAGTGGTGGGAAAGTGACTGAAGCTGAGATACCAGGTTAGTACCAATAGCATTGCAGCTTCTTTTTTGTATTTTATCAATAACCTCTAAGTACATAGCAGAAACACCAGAGAAGAAGTGACAGTAATATTCAAATCAAGGACAAATGGTAGACTTATAAATGTGTAAGATAGATTCTGGCAAAAAAGCTTGTCTAGCACAACATAGGAAACCAATTTTGCTAGCAGGAGACCTAGCAATTAATTCAATATAATCTTTTCAGTTCATGTCAATGGAAAATGATAGTCCAAGAACATGCAATGAGTCATTCTACTGGTAGTTAGCATCAACCATGGTGATGATAGAAGGTAAATAAAGGGTTCTCTCAGACGTTTAAAAGAGAGTAGGTTTATTTTGGAGGTGTTAAAATTAACAAGCCACTCCTTGCCCTATTTAACAATAGACTGTAGGTCATTTTTGAGATTAGCTGCCAATTTGACATTATCAAATTGATCAAACTTTTTTTTTTTTTTTAAAGCAATTCACCCCAAGCAAGGTGGGAGTGCCACTAGCATGCAAGGGGTTACAGAGGCCTGAGAACAAGAGTAAAGAGGCGTGTTTGAGGAAAGGATACAGAGAAGGATGGAGAACAAGCTCAGGGTGTCAGATGTCGATTGACATTACACTTGAATATTTGAAGATTATAGTCATCAGGGAAGCAAGTAAGGGGAAGGGAGTTCCACAGATGGGAAGTGTGAGAGATGAAGCTGTTTGAGAAGAATAGACGGTTACATTTAACCGTTTTGACAGTGAAAGGGTGGGACCAAGATGACAGCCTGGTAGCTCGTTTAAATTCATTCAGTCTAGGAACCAGTGAAAGTAGGAACAGTTGCTGTGAAAATACTTAACTTACTATTAAGACAGGATTAAATAGTTGTGTTATCATCATAGATACCAAGTTGAGAACTTTAAGACATCAGGAAGATTTTTTTTGAAAATTAGGAACTCTCTAGGTTTCAAGGATAGAGCCTTGGGGAACATCTGCATTTATGCAAAAAGATCTAGAAGGCCATTTAAGATGACTTTCATTTCATGATCCGATAAGAAAGATTGAATCAGTTCAAAAATTTGTCTATAACCTTTCAACTTGTGAAGACCAGTATGCCAGACCCTGTCAAATGCCTTCAAGATATCCAAAGCAACAGCCCGAGTTTCTCCATTCTTATTTAAAGTTTGATAGATTTCAGTAATAATTGTTAATATATCATCAGTTGGCCTAGAGAAGCAAAAGCCATATTGCTTATCTGAAAGAAGACCCTGTCAGGTGAGATGCTTAACCAATTTGCAATGGATGTTAGAACAAACAGTTGTCAAATATACTGCTTATTATTATTATTATTATCATAATTTCTGTTTAAATGATAAATAATAGAAACCAATCAATAAGAAAAAATAAAGGTATAAAATTATCATCAAATATATATGAGAATGTTTTTTATTATTATTGTTAAAAATGTTTGAATGATAAATAATAGAGGAAGAAATTGATTATTCTGAATCAATAGTGAAAAGTAAACAAAACAAAATAACTTTATGACTTGAAATGCTTTAACCACAAATTTGAAAATACATTCATAAAAATGTTACATTAAAATATAAATACGGTACAATTCATGCCAGTTTTTAAGTAGTTTAGTCAATATAATCAACTAAATATTAATATAATAATTCTTAGTGATAATTCTTAAGATATTTGTAATAAGAGAAACTTGTTAAATAAGACTTATGTAAAAAGAAAACAATCAATGTATACCACAACATCTTTAAAAAAATATGTATTTTTATGAATAAAGATAATGAATGAATGAAAATATAATAAAAACTTATAATAAAAAATGAAAAACAAGAATAAAATAAATAAAAAAATAATTATCACTTTTCTTAGTTTTTCTGGAGCCAGAAAAAAACATGTCCATTCATTAGAACATCACTGCTAAATATGTCAAATGTCTGAAGTGAATACATAATACAAGGTTGCATCATCTGCAAATATTTAATCATGATAATAATATGAATACGTAATACAAGGTTGCATCATCTGCAAATATTTGGATTTTATATTATTTAAGGATTTGGTTTTACAAATATTGGTGATACGAAGAAGTGTTTGGTGAGTGTTTATTGTGTATTGATTACTTTTTAATATTTTTGATTTTTCTACTTGTTCCTTCTTTAATCATATATACAAGATAACGATATAGAAATCAAGAACATTATTGGTGGAAAAATGTATGACAAAGTGGAAAAAAGGTTTTCTGTGATGTGTTTTGTTTTTTTTAAGACTTTATTGGACTAAATTTGTTACATTTGTGTGACTGCATGAACAAGGGATGCTAGGAATTTTAATTTTTTCTTTTACTCAAACACATGTAATAGTTGTCACAAAAAATACATAGGAGAAACCTCAAGGAGTCTAAATAAAATATTATAAATATGAAATATGATTATATTATTTTTTCTTTTTTTTTCTTCACCAGTTTTAAAGTAAATAAATTTATAAGACCTGACCACAATATAGACAAAGCCAAGAAAATTGAAAATACATTGGCTTTCAGATGAATTTCTGCTCCAAATATCCTGATTAGGAATCAAACTTTTATTAATAAAAGTTTGTACCCCTTTTGAATATACATAAGAGTTTTGTTCATTTGAAAGTTTCTTTTCATTGAGCAACTTTTCTATTGATTAAAATTCCATTTTTCTCATCTAATCATTTGATAACTTTGAGGTTTTCTTTGATGAGTATCCTCATTTTGCTTTTTTAAGCTATTATTTTCTATTTACAATGTTTCAGTTGGTTGATTTTCTCAGTTTTCAGATGACTCTTTCATTTAGTAGTTTAAAATAATGTAGGACAACTAAATAAAAACTCGGCTTACGCCACATTAGTTTTTATTTTATCATTCTTTTCATGCTAAATTGCATGCAAATAATTTCATAGATTTTTATCACAGTCATGAGACCCATAACCCAGCAGTGATGTTTTCTGGGCAAGATAGCCTGATGGAGCCCAACCTTCTCCAGGCTGGTTTGAATTCAAAGTTTATCCTTCTCCTAGACTGGTTACCAACCAACGCTATAGGATCCAGTCTCACCTTCTATCTATCCATAACTGGGAGGGAGAAGAGATGGATTCATACCTTTCCCAAGGGCATTAGTAGATAAACGTATGTGATGAACTGGTATTCAAACTTGGCTCTCCGATTCCTCAATCTGATCTGCAATCCATTACTCCATTGTGTATCCGATCTTTATAGGAATAACAAAAATTAATTCTGGAGATATCTTCTTCCTGGGTGTTTCAAAATTTTTGTCTTGATCTGACTTCTTTTTATACCAAGTCCTTTCACAGTGTGGGTGATCATGACTCTCCACAACTTCCTGTCTCTTTCTTCCTATCTGAATAAGTGTTGTAAGTATCGTTGTAAATATTTAAATCTTGAATGCTATTTTGTAATTTTGCAGATCAAATGAAGTTTTTCAGGTGAGAAAATAAATGCCAGCCATTAATATTAGTTTCTATTTCCTTTTTTTATTTTAGATAGGGGATTGCTAGGGAACACCATGTACTATAGGCAACCTCTTACAATCTGAAATATGTTTAGTTTTAAATAACCCACAAAGAGTTGCACAGCTGTTTGAGGGCTCCTATAGCCCCTCTAAATTTAAATAAAGTCAATTCAAGTTTGCTATGGTAAAAATTTTCTATCCCAAGTAAAAATCATCACAAAAATGGCAAAAGTCATTTTGTCACAGCTTATTTTCTCTGAAAAAATGGATTTTCATATTTTTATAGGGGTAAAAAAAAAAGGTAAAATATTGAAAAATGACTGTTTTATCATCATCAAAACAAATATCAAGGAAACTTTTGATCTGAACTCCATGATACTAGGTATTTTCTGAGAGCAAAGGATATATTCTTTCATTTAAAAGTAAAATTGGCTGGTGTAAATGACTCAAAGATTTTTTTCAGGGGGTAAACTGTGAAAAAATAGTGAAAATTTTGCATTTTTTCTAGTTCTAAACAAAATATTTTCCCAATATTGATTGGGAATTAACCATTTTGGGGGGAAAACCAAAAAACCTAAATCATAATAAAACTATTTCAGGCATAAAATTGAGAGTTTGAAGGAAACCAACATTCCTAGGGGTCAAAATGTGACAAAGTCCATTGGTAATTTTCAATTATTTGGCTGCAAGGGGTTAAAAAAATTGACACCCAGCGATGGAAATCTTTAGTAGAAGGTGAAAGATTTATCCTCAATTCCTGACCACTGGAAACCAGGAGTTATTTAAAAAAAAAAAAAAATAGCAGCGATAATGAAAATTAAACCAAATTGACTTTGACATGTCAAAGGCCAGTCAGTCAGCCAGCCAGCCACGTTGGAACAAGCTGTCATTGTCAACTTGTAAATCCCACCATTGACAAGATAAGAGCAAAGAGTGAAAAAAAAAAGATGTAATATTGGTTAAAAGGTCCTGATAGGTTATTATTTTTTCAAACCTATGTTTGTGAACAATGGCTTGATGTGTTTTGTTTTTTAACACCTTGTGACCCAGGTGATGGCAACAACACTTAGCAGCTGACATTGTTTTTTTTGCTGCATGTCTTTCATATTTCCCATCATTGGGTCATGTAGCAATTCGTTTTATTCAATGATGTTCACACCAACTTAAAGAGAAATGATTGAAGTTTGAAAAGAATTGTTTTGAAGTGAAAATAGATATTTTTTCATAAAAAAGTGATTTTTCTCAGAAAATTATCTATAATTTTTTAATGCTAACCCCCGAGTGATATTTTTCACAGCCGAATCGAAGATTAATTACCAGTGAACAATTCCACATGCAAACAATAGCCGTCTGGATCCTATAACATGGCCTGAAAAAATCTAGAAGTTAACTGATTGATCGAAAACTTTTCCATGGCCAGTTTCCATTATTTCATCTTCTTGTTGTCATTTTTGGATAGCCAAATCATCAAGGATTCAGGAAAACAGTTTGGAACGTTTGCTTTGAGAACTTTACATTCCATGAGGGGTTTAAAACATTACTGACGAATGGAATTTTTTTGCCGAATATTTAATTCAAGCACCATCTTGGATTTTCCTATAGGACAAAAACAAGCCTTTTAAACAGTTGTGGTTGATAAACCATAAAAAGCAATCAATCTTTTTGTTATTATGCTTGTTATTTTTCCCTCTTATTATCATTGTGTAATAGTTAGAGGAGGTCAAGGGTCAAGTGGCAGCAAGTTTCAGATTTGTAATACTTTCCTTTGGTCTTCTCTGATTGGGATTGTTTCAATTCTTTCATTGATTGGAAGAATTTGCAATCTCTTTGGGACTGTTCCCAGTGATCCAAGGATTATAGGTACAACTCTTAGTTTCTTTATCTTCTTATTGTTACTATTATTTGTAATAACTTTTGCATTTTTCTCTGCAAAGTAATTTTAACAACCACCCACTTTGTCTTTTAACTTTTCAGAAAAACTCCATGTCGGTTATAAAAGCGCTGAATGTTCCTGAAACTCCCTGCCTTGTTGTTTGTGGTGAGACTTTTCTTTTTTCTTTAAATAAACTGAAGATCCATAAACAAGTTACTGTGGATGGTCTTTTTCAAAATTTGACAGCATTGGATTTTGATTATAGAAAGGACTGCTGTAAATATCTGTCAGTAAAACTGACATTCTTATAAATTCGTTAAAGTTTTCAGTTTCTTCTCTTGTCTTTCAGGCTGTAATGAATAATATGCATATCTACACACACATATATTGTGCACACTGTATAATACTTGTGTATATAAATAAACTAAATAATGAAGTATCAAAAACAACCCTACAAATACCAAATCTGCCAAAGGAGAAAACATGAAAAAAAGATAAAAGAAATAAAAAGACAGATACCTGTTTTAAAAAAGCCTATAGTACTCATATATAGCAACTTTTATAATGTCTACAATACCACTTTACACCATTTATTATAATGGTATAAAAAATTAATTTAAAATGGCCAATAGTTTAGCTGAATCAACAAACTTTAAGTCAATTTTTATACATATTAATTTTTGAAAAAAGAACACTTGTATGTGTACATGAATAATAGGAGAAAACCTAAACATGTCAGTCTTGTTCAATAAAACATTTTTTAAAGAGGGATTGATGCCCAAATACACAACAAATGTGTGTGTGTGTATATATCTTTTAATATATATATATATATATATATATATATATATATATATATATATATATATATAGGATTGATTTGAATAAAAGTTTGTCACTTAGCTGATCAATGTTACCTTCAGCATCCCAACTCCAGAGTTTCGTAAACAGACCCAAGGGGGTATAAGTAATTTACTGCTTATATCTTTTTGATTTTTTCCTTTTTATGCATTAAACATTGGTGTCAGTTTTTTCTGTATTTTTTTGTGTTTGTGTGTGCATTTGTGCATGTGCATTCACTTCCGATATGCATATGTGTAGGTGGTTGTGATCATTTGTCCTTTTCATTATTTTTTTTACTTTACACTCGCTCTTTAGCCTTTTTTATTGTTTTTTTATGCTTATATATCTTCACTAGGTTATTATTATGTTTTTTAATTTAGTTTGGTGGTATCATAAGTATTAATTGTAGGAGGTTAGATTATAATTAAGTTTATTTATTATTGTTTGAATTTATATGTATATGTCTGTATTTATATGCTTATGTATATGCACATCTATGCATATACATATAAACATGTGTGCAGGTACATGTACATTTATGTCTGTTTTATGTCTGTTTTATTATTAATAAACTAGCGCTTAAATGGTGAAGATATTTTTTTCTATTTTTAGGGTATTAATTATGGTTGGTTGGGTTAATAGAATTTGTTGTTTATATATATATATATATATATATATATATATATATACATACACACACACACGAACACATATGTGTAGTTGTTAAATAGTGTATATGTATTAAAGTAAGTGTATTCTTTTATCATGTTATTCTTTATTTAATGTTTCATTTTTATGTAATGGTTAGTAGTTTATTTGTTTTTGCCTGGGTGTTATATATTGAGGGATTAATTGGGGAGTTAGGTTTGTTTGTTTTTTGGTGTTTGTGTGTGTGTAATATATATAAAAGCAATTCACCCCAAGCATGGTGGGAGTGCCACTAGCATGCAATGGGTTACAGAGGATTGAGAACAAGAGTAAATAGGCATGTTTGTGGAAAGGATACAGGGAAGGACAGGGATAAAGCTCAGGGTGTCAAATGTCGGGGAAGCAAGTAAGGGGAAGGGAGTTACACAGACAGGAAGTGTGGGAGAAGAAGAAGTTTGAGTAGAAGAGATGGTTACATTTAAACGTTTTGACAGTGAAAGGGTGGGACCAAGATGCCAATCTGGCAGCTCGCTTAAATTCATGCAGTCTGGGAACCAGCGAAAGTAGCTTGTTGAAATAGTTGCCATGAAAATACTTGAGGAAGAGACAGAGGGAGGCCACGGCACGTCTGTGGGATAGCAATTGTAGACTAGATGTCAGATCAGGACCTATCATCTTGCATATTCATCTCTGGATATTGTTGAGGATCTCGAGATGTACAGTGAGAGCACCAGACCATATATGACAGCAATATTCCATGCAAGGGCGGATGGTTGATTTATAGATTTGAAGGATGGACTCAGATGAGAAAAACTTTCTGGCACAACACATAGAACCAAATTTCCTTGCGGTAGATGAAGCTATTGATTCAATGTATTTATTCCACCTCATATCAGTGGACAGTGGGAGACCAATCGGGTGTAATGAGGCGCTCTCAAGGAGTTGAAAATCAGTCATTCTGATGGGAGGGTTCTCAGTGGTAGGTAAAGGAGAGCAGTTTTATTTTGGAGGTATTAAAGTTTACAAGTTATTTCCTGCTCCAGTCAACCACAGATTGGAGGTTCTTTTTGAGATCAGTGGCCAGGTTTTGTCAATGATACTAGATTTATTATTGAGGCAGGAGTAAATAGTGGTCCCATCCGCGTAGATGCCAACTTGGGAACTGATGACATCAGGAAGGTCATTGATGAAGATCAGGAATAATGTAGGCCCAAGATAGAGCCTTGGGGAACACCAGCATTCATGATAAAGGAGCCAGAGGAGAACCTGTTGAGGATGATTTTCATTTCATGGTTTGACAGGAATGATTGTATTAAGTCAAATAGTTATCTTGTAATACTGTATCCCTGAAGCTTATGAAGAAGGCCAGCATACCAAACCCTATCAAACGCTTTAGAGTAACAGCTCAAGCTTGTCCATTATTGTTGAGTGGTTGGTATACAAATTCAGTTATGGCCATTAGCATGTCAGTGGTAGATTGGGCAAAGCGAAAACCATATTGCTTGTCAGAGAGCAGATTATGTGAAGTAACGTGCTTAACCACTTTGGCGCATATATGTATATGCACACATATAGGTGTGTATCTTTAATATTTGTTCATTTATTTATTAATGAATTTAGTTTATTTTATATTTGTTTCATTTATTTAAAGTTTATATTATATTTATTTATTTATTGAAAGTTTATATTAGCAGGCTTTACCCGCTCGCTATCACTTCGCAAAGTAAGATATATTCACTACTTGAAATCTTTGAAACAAAAATTTTAAATGAACATTTCATTCATAAATTAGCTTGTTATAGTTCAGGAAAGTTTTACAAATAGATGCCAACTTGTTGAAGGCCAAGTGAAATGCAAATTTCAAATACTTTTCTGCACTATATAAGATGATATTCCTAAACAACAATTTTTGATATGAAAATCAAAACAATCCTTGAATAAAAGAACAGTAATGAATGACTATTAATTAATGAAATAAACTTTTTTAAAATCAATATGTAAATTAGTTAAATCTGCAGAGTGATATTGCCTAGGAGTTGATAATATATAATACAGATATTGAGCTATTATTGTTTTAAAATTTTAATCTAGCTGCAATTTGGGATACAAAAAGAAAATAAGAGTTACTCCTCTTGAAACATGAAAGCAATGATAATGGCTAGTATAATATATTAATATATATTTTTAACCTCGCATAATCTGGCAACCCTGAATCTGAGCTCAATGAAAATCGTTCCTTGCACCTAGCTTTTCTAGGGCTTTTGAATGAGCTATGAATCATTGAAATCAGACCAGTGGGAGCGAAGGAGTTGCTTGGACACACACGCACAAACACATAGACATACACTGTACTTTATATATAAGATTTATTTATATTTATTTGTTCATTTTCAATTAGTGCTTAGATGGCAAAGTAAGTTTTTATTTATATGCCAACATTTACCTATTATTTCAGTTTTCTTCTTTAGGAGTTTATTTTGGTTTTTAAAACTAATTATTGCTAATTATTTTCCTCTAAGCATAAATTACAATTTTTACTGTTAATACTGTATGGGGCTGCTCTTTTTATAATTTCCCATTTGATTTTGGTGGGGATATTGCTTTCTTTTTGGCTACATATGTATTTTAATAGGGTTGTATTGTTTGTGTATTTTTTCTTTCAAATTTTTTTCTGTGGTGCCTATGTAAATTTTTTTATCTGTTTTAATGTTATTAGTTATGATAGCTTTATATATTACGTTATTGGTTAAACATTTATTGTTAAGTGGGCAATTTGCTTTGTTTCTGCAGTTACATTTAATGGTGTTATTTTACTGCATGTTATTGTTGTAATTAGTTTTGGTGAGTATTTTTCTTATTGTGCTTAGTTATTTTCTCCATGTTATTCATTCAGCTGTAACTAATTTTGATTGTTTTTTTGTTGATAACTTTTGATAATTTTCTGTTTTTAGGAATGTATTTGTCAATTATTTTGAAGAATATTTTCCCAATTTTTGTTTTTATTACATTTCTTTATCTGTTGTTTTTGTTTGAATTGTTATCATTTTTGTATTCTAGTTTCTTTGAATATCTGATGTTTCTTAGGGCTGCTTCATATGTTTTTTTTTTTTTTTCATTAAATATTTTTAGGCTTCTAGAGTTTAAAATTCTTTTATTTATAGATATGGATATTTGTTTAAATACATTAGGTGCATGGGTGGTTAAAATTTTTGTTAATGTTTATTGGGTTGTTGTTTGTTTGTATGGTTTGTAGGTTCTGTTATGAAGGTTAAATGTTATATCAAAGAAATTTACTATTTTTTGATTGGATTTTATATCTGTTCTAAATCCTAGGATTTTGAAGGTTTTTATTATATCATATTTTTTGTAGTTCTGCTGTTTCAGTTTCTTAGAATTAATAGACTGTTGTCCCTGTATAGATCTGTATCTTTTTTGTTAATAATATTTGTCAAATCATTGATTATGTATATGCCTATTAGTTTTCATACCTCTTCACCATCATAGATACCCATTGTTACTTCAAAGTTATTGTTGTTATTATTATTATTCCCTTTTTTATGTCCATATTTTTTGTATTGTGGTATCATATTGATTTTTGGCAATGTTTAATTTTATATATATAAAAAGTTTTTTTTTAAACCAATTGATTGTTGCTTTTGCATTTTTCCATTGGT